TTAAAAAACATAAGCAAAATGTTTAAGAGGCCTTTACTACTTATGGCAACTGTCAATGATTGATGAGGATATGCTAATCTCTAATTTTGTTTTAATCTAATAAACCCATCAAGTATTTACAAAATTATGACTGATGGTTGTGTTCTCTTTAAAAAACTGAAAGCAGCAGCACAAAAACAATAATAAAGTGCTTTAAAAAAAGGAAAAAGAAAGATCATAGTAGCTTTTAATACTCATTCAGAAATTCATAGGGTATCTTTTTACATTTTTAGAGAAGAGAAAAAAAGAGAGAGAAAAAAGTTATGTATTTAGGTATTATTAACAATTATATGTGTATAGGAGTTATGGGTCAATTACCCGATTTCTTGGAGTGCAGAATGTTTTACAAGACTAAAGCAGTGACCATTAAATGAATGGTTAGCAAAAGCAATCATTTTTGTGTCATCATTCACATCAAACTTTTATGAACATCAAAAAGTAAAACATTTATCTTGACAACTAGAAAAAAAAAAAAAAGACTCGTTCAAATGTTTAGCATTAAAATCAATAGTAAATATAATTGGATAATCACAGGAAGAATCTGTTGAACTATCAATGAATATTCAGAAAAAATTAATTTCTTATCCAAATTAATAACATTCTAATTTTTTAAGAGAGATTTTTGCATTAAAATTAAATGAAGAAATTAGTAACTGACACAAATGAAAAGTAAAATTAATCTTTGCTTGGTTAAAGCAAAGGAATTTAATTGGGAAAGAAAAATAAATCTTGAGAGGAATTTTTAAATATTGAAAATGAAACCAAACCATCTCATAATTGCATAACTGTTCTTTTTACACTTGTATCAATGTAAACAAACATTCTTTTAATGACAATGATATGACTTGCCTGTCTCTAAAAATTTTAACTGATAAAACAAATTATAAAATGCTGAGTCTTACATCACATGTTCATATAAATGTCAAAGTCATCCAATTGAGTTATTTAAAAAAAAAAAAAAAAATCAATGCAGAATGATAAAATCCGTTAACTGAAATTTGAGCCATTAAAATTAAGAAACTTATTTCAGTGAATCACAAGTTAAATCAAACTGATGATGGAATAAATATCACAAAGCCAAAGAGGATTCATAAAGAAAGCTGTGGAGAGCTGTTATCGCCTGTGTTCAGAAAGGACATAAGAGAGAGACAATACAAAAATCATTACAGTTATTGTGAATATAATTCAAGAGTAAAATGTGAAAAATTATTTTAAGCCTAAATGAAGTTGAAGAATTTTACAGAGGATTCTGGGATACAAAAAGGATCAACGAAAACCCAAAAGAAAAGCAAATTGAAAAATTCTTTAAAATGTTAAAATACAACTCATTTCAGACATTCTGTTAGAGAAACACTAAAAGAAAATTTAAAAAATCAAAATGAAATAACTATAAAAAAGGATTACAAAACTTTTAAACCTGCTCTAAATTGTTAACAATTTGAAATTTAAGAGAACATACTGGCCAAATTTTTATATAAAATTTCCAAGCAGATCCTTGGATATTTCAATGATTAGAAAAACAACTAAATATTTATTACGTAAGGAGGTGGGGAGGGGGAGTTAATATTATAAAAGTTCAAACAAGATAAAAAAAAATAAACAAAGCTTTATCAAAGAAGATTTAGTATTCAATTAAAAACATGTGATCTATTAAAACATTAAAATTTTAAATCCCAATGTGCACACAGTAAATATTCAATTGTTTGCCAGTTAAATCCAAATTTTGAATATTGTTAATTTGATTACAAAGTTGTGTGAGGGGAGAGAGTGAGAGAGAGAGCGAGAGTCAACTGGCAACCAACAAACAATAAATGAACAGGTCAATATAACAGTTAATTATCAATGGGTAAACTCCACAATTTATGAATAAAACTTTAAAAAGATACAATTGAAAAATATTAATTTTTGCATTTTAAAAAGAAAAAGAAAAAAAATATAAAAAAAAAAAAAAAAATCTTTGTTCTGGGTTAATTGTAGCCACAAAGGGGGCAGGCGAGAAAGGAGTGAGAAATATTGTATTTAAGTGACAGCTGAGTACGGTCAGGTAATCAGGGGCTGTTAGTGTTGCCTGCTTGTAATGATCCAGCAAGCAGTAGGGAACAAAGACTACAGGTAAACTGGCTTTGCACAGCTTGTCAGCATCAGCTCACCCCCAACAATTTAACCTATATTGAGACAACTCTACAAAAGCTGAGAGAGAGAGAGAGAGAGAGAGAGAGAGAGAGAGAGAGAGAGAGTGTGTGTGTGTGTGTGTGTGTGTGTGTGCTGACAGGAGATACCTGCCCAGCTACGTGTCAATGTAGCAAGATTTTGCCTATTATCTGCAATATAGTGCTTCCTCATTGTTAATTGCAAACTGTTTTGTGGTAGGGAGGTTGACCCGTTTAGATATTTTGTTAAGGATCAGTAAGACTGTCAAGTAAAACCAGTTAAATTGTAAATCATCGCATAATATTACTTAGCTGAGAAGAATTACAAGTGTATGTATTTGGTTTATGATTGCAGGTGGCAACTGATACTGAATGTATAGGGTTACAAACTTTCAATATTTTAATTTCCAAACAATACTGGTAACAAAAGAGATGTTATTTTAAATTTGTAACCTGACAACAACCGTCACCACTAACCTCTGAGTACTCAAACCATTCAGTGCATTGCCATGTGGATGACATTCAGATGAAAAATGTGAAAAATCATTTTCTTTGAGATGATTTAATGTTAACAACACTGAATTTGGCATTGTGAATTTGAGTTCCTTTTTAGCCATTACAAAGCAGATAAGCAAGGGTAATTTCTTTCTATTATGTAGAAGCAGATGCTGTGATGTAGCTGAACCAATAACTCAATATATATATATATATATATATATATATATATATATATATATATATATATATATATCATAATAGCATGGAGAGTTGTTTGTGACCTTAGGTTTCCCCGATCTTCAGAGTTTGCCTGAAGATCATGAAAGCATAAAACCTAAGGTCACAAAACAACTCACATGCAAAACGCATACATTAGCTCTATTACAGATATTGAGTACTTTCCACTAAATACCACATACATATTTTATATATATATATATATATATATATAAACCTTGCTACAGATAGTAGTCCAGCAAAATAGTGTCTTGTACCAAATATAAGTGTGACCTGGGAGAGTTATGGAGAAAACTTTTTGACTAAGTAGGGAATTTCCAAAAATGAGAACAAATTAATTGTACCAAAGAGAAAATTGTTTGAAAAATAATAAGCACCTAAGAGGAAGATTGAAAATAATTTAATAGACATTTACAGAGACCAAACAATGTATGCGAGCACAGTTAAGTAGCGTGAAATGAGTTTCAGTGGTGGGATCAAATATTTGTATGACAGGCCAATTTCCAAGCAGTCCCATTCCACTGTCTATTAACAAGATTAAGAACACTTAAAAAATGCAAACAATAGCTGTAACAATGTAGAAAAATAGCATTTTGTAGCTGAAAACTTGTTCTATCCAATGATGCTATCGTGCACTTTTTAGTTGCCATGGAAATAAGTAGAAGGCAAAAAAAAAGAAAAAGAAAAAAAGGGAACAAAAGGGGGAAAGGAACAAGAAAAATAAGGAAAAGGAACAAGAAAAATAAAAGAAAATAGCAAAAAATGGCAGAGTAAAAAGAAAAAACAAGTGAAACAAGAGAATAGAAAAACAAAAAATGAAAAAGAAACAAAGTAAAAAAAAAAAAAAAAAAAAAGATTCAAGATGCTGTTATTTCCTCAATTTTTCATAAAATCAAATTTGAATTTAAAAAAAAAAAACAAAAAAAAACAATACATTCACAAACACACACATCAATTCCAAAAGAACATGATTTTAAGCCAAAAATATTTAAAAGAAATATTTGATTTCTGCTAAACTAAGGACTTCAGATGACCATATATACTAAATTCAAAATCATCTACAAGTTCTAAGATATTTCTGATTGTTACTTTAGATTACTTTTCTGACTGATTTCAACCATGTTTGGCCCATTTTCAGTCATAAGATGAAATATCACAAGTGATACAACCAGGCACTCAAATTATCAACTAATTGGTAAATGAAATTCCAGGAATTAGAAGAACAGGCAGATCTTCTAAGCTGACCTTGGCTAAATGGAACAGAGATCAAAGTGATCCAAAGATAGAATTTCAATCTGATTTGAGACCAGAATGTGAACTCCATCTGCAGGGTTTCATTTGTAATTCTTAATGACAAAAATACATCAAGAGATAGCAGAGAAGTGATCAATACACTTACCTTTCAATAAGGTTATGAAGAGCCTTAAAAAGGAGAGTTCGACATTCATAGGATAATCCATTATCCTTGTCCTTGTCCTTGTCTTTATCCCAGCAGCCTTTGTCAATTTCTGTCAAGAGAGAAAAATTGGATTTCATCTTTAAAGAAGCAAGTGAAATAAAGCAAATTCACATGAAACAAAGCAAGATAAATTTTCCAAAGAGAAAAACAAACTCATGCTCAGATTATCAAATATCAGCAAATTATTGATACTGAACTTCTTTCCTCTTTCTTCTATGTGCTATGTCCCTTCAGGACATGGGTGATTATGGCTCTCCAAAACTTCATATCCCTTCTAACTCTGTAGAATTTTCTGATGTCCATCTCCTTAGAACATCAAATAAAATACACAGTTTAACCCCAAAATAAAACTAATCAATCTTAAAGTTCAGATCAAGGAAATGCTAAGTACAAAATTTGCTAACAATTATTTAGCAAAGCAAATGGAAAGCATTTTAATAACTGGCTTTTGGCAATGTCAAATTGAAACACCAGTTTTTGTCTGATCATCAAAGTTAAGCAACATCAAGCCTAGTCAGTGCATAGATGGCTGACTGCATGGGAATACCATGTACTGTAAGTTTTGATATGTGCAGGGGGGGGTAATGGTTTGGAATTGGAAGGAAAGAGAAAGGAACGAGGGAGAGGGAGAGAGGAGAGGAGGGGAGAAAGAGAGAGAGAGGGAGAAAGAGAGAGAGAGGGGAAAAGAGAGAGGGGAAAGAGAGAGAGAGGGAAAGAGAGAGAGAGAGGGAAAAGAGAGAGAGAGGGAAAGAGAGAGAGAGAGGGAAAAGAGAGAGAGAGGGGAAAAGAGAGAGAGAGAGGGAAAAGAGAGAGAGAGAGAGAGAGAGAGAGAGAGAGGAAAAGAGAGAGAGAGAGGGAAGAGAGAGAGAGAGGGAAAAAGAGAGAGAGAAGGGGAAAAGAGAGAGAGAGGAAAAGAGAGAGAGAGAGAGAGAAAGAGAAAAGAAAGGGGAAGAGAGAGAGAGGAGAGAGAGGAGAGAGAGAGAGAGAGAAGGAAACAGAGAGAGAGAGAGAGAAGGAGAGAGAGAGAGAGAGAGAGAAGGAAACAGAGAGAGAAGAGAGAGAGAGAGAGAGAGAGAGAAAGAAGAGAGAGAGAGAGAAGGAAAAAGAGAGAGAGAGAAGAGAAGAGAGAGAGAGAGAGAGAGAGAGAGAGAGAGAAGAGAAAGAGAGAGAGAGAAGGAGAGAGAGGTTTTAAAAGAGAGAGAGAGAGAAGAGAGAAGAGAGAGAGAGAGAGAGAGAGAGGAGAAAGAGAGAGAGAGAGAGAGAGAGAGAGAGGAGAGAAGGAAAGAGAGAGAGAGAGAGAAGGAAAGAGAGAGAGAGAGAGAAGGAAGAGAGAGAGAGAGAGAAGAGAGAGAGAGAGAGAGAGAGAGAAGGAAAGAAGAGAGAGAGAGAAGAAAGAGAGAGAGAGAAAGAGAGAGAGAGAGAGAGAAGAAAGAGAGAGAGAGAGAAGAAGAGAGAGAGAGAGAGAGGGAAGAGAGAGAGAGAGAAGGAAAGAAGAGAGAGAGAGAGAGAGAGAGAAGGAAAGAGAGAGAGAGAGAAGGAAACAGAGAGAGAGAGAAGGAAACAGAGAGAGAGAGAAGGAAACAGAGAGAGAGAGAAGGAAACAGAGAGAGAGAGAAGGAAACAGAGAGAGAGAGAAGGAAACAGAGAGAGAGAGAGAGAAGGAAAAAAGTTGCCATTTCAGTTGCGTTTGTTATATTGACAATAAGGAAAGGTATGAATTCACCTCTTCTCCACCCAGCTACAAGATAAATAGTAAAATTTTGTATCAGTAACTATCTCTAAAAAAAAATTCTTACAATCTAAAAATATTTTCTGACTTTCAATAACCTGCAAAAAGACAAATCAATCCAATCATAAATTTCTAAATTATTTTTACTGTAAATATTATTTCTGAGACTATTATTTCAGGTTGCTATTACTTGCCATGCATACAATTTTTTTCTAAATTCTACACTTATTAATTTTAAATTTGCATCTTCATACTTAAAAAATAAAATTAAAAAAAATCTCTCTCAACAGGAAAATCTGATCATGTAGTTTTATAGATTTTAATAATGTCCATGATAAAAAAAAAAAAAACAATTTAAATACATAAAAAAATATAGAATTATTTATAAAGAAAAAGAAAAATCAGCAACTTTTAATTGGGGATAGGATAATGAAATCAATTAAACACACCAACAGAATAAAGAATCTTGCATAGTAAAAAAAGAAAAAAAAAATCAGCTGTATATTTGGTTTCATTTATGTTTAGACAGGTGTGAGTTTCTTGCTTGTCTCACTGCCTGAGATTACATGTGCAACGAGACAACAAAAGACTTTTTTCTTTTCTTTTAACTTATTGAAGTAGATTTACATTAAACTTATTTACAACTTAAAAAAAATAAAAAAAATCTTCATTCAATAGGAATTTAAAACCTTTTGGATAGTTAAGCTTTATTTTTTTCCAACCCAAATCATATAAACCAGAATTTTATTTGTTGCTTTATTAAGAAAGCATTAGTTCATTTGATGGAATGTAAGATCCCTCATATCCTTAAATATAAGAGGGAAGATTGCCAGGTAAAAAAAAAAAAGCTCCAGCATCAGATAAGGTGCCTTCAAAAAGTTACATGCTAATTGAACTTTTAGAAACAGGAAATAATGTAATTAAACATGAAATTAAAATTGAGCAGTTAAAAAAAAAAGAAGTTTTTTGTGGATATATAATAGGTTTTTTTTGTTTTTGACAATTCAAGATTTTCCAAAACATTTTAATATTGAAAGTAAGTAAAAGATTTTCCAAACAGTATTTTAGTTTTATTGTATTTAATATTTTTCAAGGGTAGAATTCTTTCATTTTAAGTTGGGTGGAAGCCAGTATAAATGCAGAGAGAGATTTTGGGTGGGGGGAGAAGAGATGGGTTCATACCTTCTCCCAAGTGCATTAGTGCAAAAGTGAATGCAACAAACTCAGCTCAAATTTGAACCAGTCGTACTGACTCCACTTTCCATACTGATAACCATTACACTACCTTTGCATTCAAGTGCTAGATTTTATCCGAAAGTAAAATATATAAAACCAAACAAAACTATTTTGAAAAATCTTAAGGGCCCTCAGCTGAAAGACAGTACAGAAAGTTAAAGTACAATAGTTGGAGACAGAATTAGACGAAACAAGTTCACTAATCTTTATAAAGCTGTGCTTCAGAAGAAGTTAAATGCCACTAGAGGAGGAGGAGAAGGATGATGGAAAGTTCTGAGCTATCAACAAAGCAGGCCTCAGAGACATTTTTCAGTCTCAAAAGACATGCCATCTCCTTAAGATGAAACAGTAATATTAGCTCCATAGAAGAATCACAAGTTCCTTTAATACAAGAATCAAGGCACAATATTTTTTTCAATTTCTCAATTCCAGTTGCCTGTCAATGTGTTTGATAATATTCTAACATTAGCAAATAAGATAAAGTCTTAATTTTTTACCATAAAAGATTTAATAAGAAATAATTGCTACGAAACCTAAGCTGTTGGTTTAACAAAATAAAATGGTAAAGAAGTATTGCTCACTTATAAAGGTTTAATAAAAAGAAAATATTTCTGATGAATACTTTTGCAAACAATAAGAAAAGGCAAAGTAATTGAAATTTGAATTTTTGGTTCAAAACTCTGTGTGTGTGTGTGTGTGTGTGTGTGTACAGTGAATTCAACACCCAGAGGTAGCAATCTGTTTTATGCTCAAACGCAATCATATGGCCTGACAGTTGTATTTAAGCATGAAAGATTGTTGCCTCTGAGTGTTGACTTCAATGTCCACTTTTATATTTACATACACTACCCCAACTGATATTGAGCACTTTAGCCCATAAATATAACATAACTTAAAACTATATGAAAGAAGTATGACAAAGTGGAGAAATTTGCATCCAGATTCTTACAGCATTTCACCATTCTTGGCAGATCTATTATCACAATGTGAGATATTTAATAACAAAAAATGATGGAAACAAACGAAAACAAAAGAAACTAAATGAAATCAGTTAGATTTTTACCCAAAACATTTTAAATAAAAGAAATTAAAACATTTTTCAGTTAAAATTCTCAGCCCCACCCTTTCTTTGTGTGCATGTGTAGTCACATCACCATAAACATAAGTTTAGCCCAATGAAGTCCTAAAGGACAAGATGTATCACATGAAAACTTTTCCACGAATATATATATATATATAACAGTTTGTCCGTTAGATGATTGATGTTACCTACAGTGAGTGTGCTTTTAGAATTAGCTGTATTTAGAAGAAAACAGTACTCAATATTGGCAATAACACACAGATATAGTGTAGATATAGGAATCAACACTGCATAGCATCTGCCAGTTTCATATGATCACAAACTTTTGAGACAAATTATAAAATGTATTGCAATAATTGAAATAAATTCTTTGAAGTTTTAATTTTGGTTTTAATTATAAGGGAATTATTAGCATAAATTTAGTCCCATCCAAAAATTAACATTGTTTATACACTGAGGATTGATGTCTGCTGTCAAGAAAATTTGAAGTGTAATTAGAAATCTAACAAACATAAAATATTTTTTTTTTTTTTTTTTCAACAAAATAAATAAAAATAACCATTACTTAAGTGAATTTAAAAAAAAAATTATAGTAGAAAATACCTTTGTTTTCACTAGTGTCAATTAGATGTTAATCTAGTTCATAGGTCAAGTGAGTATTGAGTCCACTTTCTTTACTCATATATGATGAAAGCCTACTTAAATGAACTCAAGTGAATGAAAGTTAAGATTTGAAACAGCTTTAAGAAAGCTTAATGAAATATGTACAAACAGCTTTTGAAAGCTAAACATCTATGACCCAATAATTGTAATTTTCAACCCAATAATAAAATAATGTTCAGTATCAAATCTGTCACAAATGTTATCTCAATTTATAAAGTAACTGGCACTAATACCCATAGTAGCAACTGCCTTTCCTTTGTTCTACTGCAATACGAAGTCATTTCTTTGAGAGATTTACGTTGGACATGAAAATTCTAAGTAAAACGGCTTAGCCAAGTTGGACCTTCATGTTCACAAAAAGAAAAAAAAAGAAAGAAAAAAGTATCAAAAAAATGGTTTTACATTGATACTACTATTATTTTAACTACCTTCACTCCTTAGCAATATTCTTTTAAAAGTGATTAAAATTTTAATAAAACTTAAAACATAAAAGTGAATTTATACATTTTCTTTGTTTTTGAGAATTGACAAGAAAAATAAATAAACATTATTTATTTATTAGATTGTTTATTTCCACTAATTATTATATTCTTTATTGGAATGGTTGGCAAAACATTGGCTAATTGCCAACTGGTTTCAATTTTATAAAATGATGAATAATAAGGATTTCCTTAAAGTTGGTTCACATATTTTAATAATTTAATAAATGTTTATAAATTTATGAAAATTTTTTTTTTTATTTCTTTATAAATCAGTAAATGACAAATATTGCATTATATTTTTAATTGTATCAAATTTTAGAATGATGTAAATATAAAATTATTCTTGCAAATAAAAAAAATCTGATAGGGTTTAATATTTTTTGTTGTAAATTCTCAAGATTAACAAAAGAACATGTATAAATTCACTTTCATGTGTTTAGGTTTTATTACAATTCTAATCATTTATTTTTAGAATTATAAATATTGCCAATGATGGGAGGTAGTTAAAATAATAACAGCATCAAAGGAAAAAACATCCATTTCACACTCCGTTTTTTTTTTTGGTGGGGGGGAATAAAATAAAAGTCTAATCTTATCAACAGTTCAATAAGGCACTCCTATTTCCTATACATCACATTTTATAATTCATGATATTTTTATATTAAAAAATGTCAACATTGCTTATTCCCCTTTACTCCCAAGCTGTGATATAAATGCTAAGGAGGTTACCACTTTTAGAGCAATAAAATAGCTTTATTTAATGAAGTAATTAACAAGATCACTTATAATAAAAAGCAACTACTTGAAAATAAATAACCAAAAGTTATTTTTTCAAAATGCTTTTTCCCTTAAGCAAAACCTGCAAATTTACACAAAGTAAAAAAAAAAGGGGGGGGGCCTAGGAGACATGATAAAACATTGGATGACACAGTTTTATGCATTATTTACACCGGCACAAATGAACAGATAACTAACTGTATATTTATTTAATTTTCAGGGTTTCAAGTGGGCACACAGATAAACTTTGGGATTTATATATTAGATATGACTGGAGCCAAAGAAAATGTTATTTTTCAGAAAAGACCTGACTGAACATTGTCCAGGTCATTATATTCCCCCCATCACTGCAAGATTTTGTTGTTCTTCAAACTCTTCTTGAGAAATATTCAAACATTATTAAAATGTGAAGAAAAGATGTTACTGTTTTATTTGTAGAAATACTTAATTGCTTGATAAAGTATTTTGACAAACAGAGGTCAAGAGAGAGAGAGAGAGAGAGCTTGCTTACACAGCTGAAAGGAGATGTCGTGAAAGGCATTTAGCAGCCTTGTAGCACACATCATCAGAAAGACGTGGCTCAGGTAGAGGGACTGAAAGGCTGACAACTAGTCATAGTATAAAAGTGGGTTATGTCATGAAGCTGCAAAGAACCAAAGTTTGGTGTGTAGCCATATTACTGAGGGGGCAAACCTGCAGCTTGAATTA